TTAAAAAAAAAAAAAAAAAAAAGCCTGATCTAAACAAAGCCACACTGGTTTAAACTGTGTTGGTACAACATAAAGCCATTGATTAAATCAGTGTGCCTCCTATATTGACAAGCCCTAGGGCTTTTATTGTTGAACTCTCCTTTGACTCCTGTTAAGGAAGCTAAAATAAAGTTGTGCCTCAGTGGATCTCTTAAAGAGTTAAAGGTTCTCCGTCTCCCTTTCCCTCTGATTAGTCATTGTCTGAGTAGCTATGCTGCTAAACTCAAACATATTCGAACAGACTGTCAAGGCAGTTACAAGTATTCAAGCAAATACAGTTGTGCTAAATTCTAAACAAATGCACATTCTTGTGTGTTAACTGGTTATGGCCCTGGCATGCTGACACTGCTGGTATTACAGAGTTACCCTAGGTCTCCTTCGCTATTTCTTTATTCAGCAACACATCTCCAAACATTTTCTGGAATGGAGGACCACTGACTTTGAAATGATGGTCTGCGGAAAATCACTCATTCACAGAGCCCTTCTAGCTGGTTCATCGAATGGCATTTGGAAAGAAGTGGGCCTGTGGCAGGATCTTTCTTTGGCCCAAGAAATAAACCTGAGCCACTGCCCTAAGCAGTCAGATTACTGCCAGGGCCAGGAACAATGTAATATCACACACGGTCAAAAAGTTGTTCTTTATGTGAAATGGCTGCAATGCCAGCTCAGATGGGAGCTAGAAACATAACTGAAGTAGTTGCCCTGGCTTGGTTTAATCCAGCGTAATGTAACACCCAGGATCTAATTTGCTTTAGTCTGTCCAGATCTGGATATACACACAGCCAGAGCAGAACTATGAAGCTGTTTCGCCCTTCCTTTTTACAGTGAATTAGATCATATTTCAAAGCAATAACTAAGTAGTCTACCTTACATATTACTTTTTAAATCCAAGATACACAAATGTGGTGCGTGCATATCTGATATGGCAGTTGCAGCCCATCTTTATTTTCTAATGCTGTGATTTCTGCCAGAACTGGCTCTGGCTCTGTTTTTTGGTGACAACATAGTATCAACATCTAAATTTTAATGAGGATTGAAACATCATTCAGTGTGCTGTTCTGTTGTATTTTAAAAGCAAGGTTTTTATCCATGCTTGCATGGCTTTTGTTTAGAATTGTATATATAGAGCAGTCAGTTGTTTTCAACCTTTTTTCACTTGTGGACCCCTAAAAAATGTTGAATGGAGGTGCAGATCCCTTTGGAAATTTCAAATGAAGGTGCAGACCCCTTTGAATGGTAAGTCTGGATATTCACATACTTTTGATTGATCATAGTCATCTTTTGCTAGACAAAGTCTGTGGACCCCCCAGGGTTGAAAACCACTGGTACAGGGGACTGCAGGTGGGATCTGTACTTATAGAAGTTGTTTCTTGGTAGCGCAAAGTTCCTACTGAAGTCGGTGGGGAGTTTTGTCCAAAGTAAGCAAGCAGCTCCAGAAGGGGGATTTCATTAAGCTTTTTTTTAAATACTTTTGGCATGAAATGTGGATTCCAGACAACTGGAATTATGTGAAAACTTTGTACCAACTACCCTGCAGCTATGTGCAGTCTTCTGATGATTTCTGCTGTGTTTTGTAGTAGCATTTTGTTGGTGTGCAGCATGCTAAAGTCCACACCTCCTAGAGGTTTGGGGTGCAAAATCAACTGAGATAGGGGTTGATTTTGCACCCTGAAGGATATTGGACAAACATGCTGAGCTTTCTGGATGGTGTTATGAACGGGCTGTTGCCAGCAAGCCTGTTCGGATATTGGGCTATTCTGTCTTGGAGCCAAACTGGCACAACAAGCCAGGGTAAGACACCTCTTCCTTCTTGCATCTCTGCTCCAGTGTTTGTAACGACAGGACTATGAATCTGACCTGATATTTTTGTGCAGGGCCTTGAGTAGTGTATTTCAGTGTTGGATTCATTAGGAGTTTTAGTCCTTCACCATCATGAAGAGCTAGGACACCTTCCTTTCCCCCTTTTCTTGGTCCCGTAATTTAGAGATCTTGTTGTTCAGGAAGTGTGCGCACATTTTGCATCCCTAGTAGTTCAAAACGAGCACTGCAAGTCTGAGGAGCTATTTAAATTGAAGTTAAGCTCCTAGGACTGTTGTGTTTGAATTAAGGGCAAATTGAAAACGTATAGACTGTTGTGAATTCCCTCAATGGAAAACTATTGACAGTTTATCTTAAAAACCCTGGCATGGGGGGGAGGGGCATGCATGTAATGTGTAATAAAAACACTTAAGCTCTAGTAACACAAACAAACCCTCAAAGAAGTGATTTTTTTTGCCTATTAGTCATGCTTTTTGGCGCTTGAGTGAATTATTATTTTGCAAGATTTTTATTTATGTGAGATCTTAAATACCAAGGTGGTTATGCATTGATAGAGCCTTAGTTGTATCCCGAGTGAGCCCAACCCATGCTGTTGGTCGTAGCTGCTCTGTATGGACCTGGGCTTAGTGTCTGCTTGTGCACCATAACATGTTGGCCACTGAAATGGTGCAGATGTGTGAAGGTGTAACCCTTTTTATTCTGTTACTCTTGCCGAACAATATATTGTTGTTTTCTCAGTTTCAGCGTTTGGGGTGGAGAAGCTTACCCACTAACCCCCCCGGCCTGGCATCTAATATCTCTCTAGATCTCACACATGCCAGTGTGACCCGCACCCCCCCAGTGTTATATATTCCCCCCACCTCCCC